GCACATTAATATCTCTGCTTAAAGTTTTATTTTTGCTTATGTGTTTTCTTCTACGTGTTAAAGAAACAAAGTTTCAGGATTTTTTACAGAAGGATGTAACTGGGCACGAGGACACCTAGAAGGACAATTCTATGTCCAAAAAATACCCGTAACTCATTTCTGAATTGTTTCTTGTTTTGGTAATAAATTTTGCTACCACTGTGAGAATTAGTTTTCCCTGTAAGCCCTGATGTATTGTAGATGTACTGTTCACTACTCAGAATCTTTTGCTAACAGGTTTTACTGATGGGCTTCAGTTCACTTAAATTTCACTTGATTCAATGTCTTTGCTTAAAATTTTCAGAGTACTTTTGTTCCCTGCGGTTTCTCTAATGTAATTTATAAAATAAATGAGAAACTAGGGTGTGATTAAAGTAGGATTGTAGCCTAGGTTGTGCTTGAAGGGTATAAAAAAACTATTGATACTACAGGTATGCAGAATATACCAATGAATTCAGTCTAATGTGGCCTGAGGTGTAAATCCATCCTTCGGTAGGATAGCCAAAACCCTCCTCTGATTGTGATGCTTCACCCAGACTGTTCTGTCCTGCAGAGTCTCCAGGTGCTCCTCCAGCCCAGGAGCTGAAATTGGCTCCATTTGAATCAATGAGAGTTTTATCACGGGCCTTTCTAACTCCAGTACTGAGTCCTGCAGTCCCAAGTCTGTGCTAACTAGTCACATCCCATTTATCTAAAGAAAAGCTGTGAAGTGGGAAAATTAAAGACAAAGAAACATCATTTAGTCTGCCGTATAATAAAGTATTTTAGGTTTAGCACTCTGAAAAGCAAAAAGTGCTAATGTGTGTTATTGATGCCATGGCTGAGGATTTTCTCATCTGGCCTACAGAGAAGTGAAGCAGCTTTTTCAGTATTTTAAATGAGGGCAGAGTGAAGAAAATTTTAAGGTGAAATTGTGAAAAATTTCTGTTGTAGGGTCCTAAATTTGTGTTCATTCCCATTACCAAGGGTTGTATTCCTCTATCTCAGCAAACATTTTAATTACAGATATTGAAGACCTTAGTTTTAACTGTCATCTAAAATTAGAATCCAACACAACATTCCCTAAAACCTTTTAGACTCAAGTTTAATTAATGCACCAAACAGAAAATCTTCATTTGCTAAGACTTTAGGATCTCCTGTTGCTTTGCTTAAGTTTGTTGGAAACATTTTCCAGAAATAGTAATCTAATCCATGCACTGTCATCTTATGAAATGTGACAAGATCAGAGCAAAAACAGTCATTGCACTGGCATTTCAATTTTTATCTAACTAGCCATCAAAACAAGCAATCAAAATGTAACAATTTGTCTTCCTCTCACCAAAGATTTCCAAGGAGAAGCAGCACAGCGTGCACAACATTTCACTGACTTGGGGCTTGAATTCTGCAGAAAATCCTGAGGACCCTTTACAACTGCACATGTAATGACCAACAGCATCCACACATCTGCCCAAGCTATATCTTCAGTGTGCTTAAAATGCCATCTCATTTTCTAGCTAAACAAAAGTGTTGATGCCTTGGATTTACAGTAATTTACTGATTCTGTCTTTGCCATCTGATGGCAGTACCAAAAATGAGGAATGGCTTAGCACTCTGATGGCATATCTCAGAATGCTTGAATCTTATCTGCCCAGGAGGTTATTGAATGTTGATTGTAAAATGTTGAATGCTATCCCATATATCTCTGGTAATACGATCTGTAAGAGGAGTTAGTTACTCAGATTTTGAAACACTCTGTATATGAACAGCAGGTCATTTTTATTGAGCTGCTCCCTACATAGTTCCCTAATGATTCCTTGGTCAGATCTCTGATTGCAAATACCAGCAGCTAACAAAGGGATAAAATGACTCTGGTACAATCCTACTGTGTGTTTTCAATATAATGTGCTAATACATTGTCCAGTGTTCCCACAGAATTACACCACTTCTGTGAGAAGGCCTGGCCAATACCTGATTGATTCTGGTCTGTGGGGATGGGCCCAGTTCAGTGCAATTTCCTCTCTTGTTGCTTTCTTGTCTATTAGAGAGGGTTTGGGTTTGTGGAAATCAATAGGCTTACACATGCAAAATGTGAGGCTATTCCCTAGCAAGTTTCATTTGCATCCTTAATTTATGGAAAATGCTGTTTTCTCCTCTGCACTTTTTTTTAAAACTCTACTTAAACAAATACCTGTTTAAACATACCCCCCAATGTATTAATGCAGAAGATCTGAATTCCTGTGAGGATGCTGGAGATGTTTAACTCATGTGTAGCCAGGCTCTGCTATTTAGGACATTAATAGCACTTGAGTGTTGCATAAATGGAGTCCTATTTGTCTTAGCAGAATCATTAAAGTTATGATTTATCCTAAAATGGATACTAATGTTCTATTTAATCATAACAGTTATTTAAGCGTCTAACAATCTATTTCCTCTCACCCTGTGAACTTTAGAAATGGCAATTAATGGTGTACAATAGGAAACTTTTAAAGGAATATGCTTCAAATATTTCTCTCGCTTTTACAGAAATTGAAGCAAACTGAAGAAACAAAAGAAGATTCCCAGAACAGAGTATCTAAAATTTCCCTGGAGTCTCTCAATAAATTTAACAGCAATAATGCACTTTTATTAGAAAAAGAGAAGAACTGTCTGAACAAGGTTGAAGGACAGAAGGAAGAGAATGGAAAGAAAGAAGCAGCTTCCTTGAACAGCTCGGGTCGGCAGGATGTGGACAATTTGGAATCCCTGAGTGATTCCCTGTACGACAGCTTCTCCTCCTGTGCCAGCCAAGGCTCCAACGACGTTTAGGGACACTTCCAGCAGGCTGCAGCACAGAGTGGAGCTGAAGGTGAGCGTGGAGTGAGGAGGGAGAGGAGACTGTGCTTGGCAATTCCCCCTCGAGCTCGCTGTGCTCACGTCAGGGTGTTCTGACCTCCCAGCACACAGCAATAAGGCAGGGCAGCATCACGGTGGTGCAGGGGACTCAACACACCCAACACAACGAATACACAGAATAAAGTCTTAATTTTGCACTTTTGTGAATATTTGTACAGTTGTAAATACCTTGGGAAAATATATTTGTAGGGATACATGACAGCAATAAATATTAAATTGGTGCTATGCTCCTGTAATGGCAGATTACTAACTTAAAGAAATTGGTGTGTATATTAACAAGAAAAGCTAGTAGCTTTTTTTAAAAAGAGTTATAATTGTCATAGTCTTAAAACTGTATGTAGAAACACTGCATTACCATAAATTTGAGCCTGCCAGATTGTCTTTAATAAACTCTCGTGGACTCCCTTTTAGAAAACATATTTTATTTTTTTCTTTTTAGTGCAATTCCATACAGGTATTCTAGGGAAACATGCATTTCAGTTATTACAACTTCACAACAGGTGTCTTATTTCAAAAGGGGTTTGACTTTTGACATGGCAAGAAAATGAATAGATTAAAAGGCCTGATACTGCTGGCATTGGCTTCATCAATCATGCACATAACTGTTTGAAAGATCAGGGTCAAAGCAATTCACTGCTGACACAAACAGGAGTCCTGTAGGAATGGGAACCACATAAACCATCCTGTACTTCTGACTGCAACGTGGCTTTTCAACTTCCACCTCCTCGGTACTGTACTCATTTCCCATCAAATTGTAAATGTACCATACTGTGTTATCTTTCCTAGTCTCTGGTCGGTCTTAAGCTCTGAACACTAAAGTTATTTTTTAAGAAAACACAACAACTTCTGTTTGTGACACACTAAGGTGTTGGTGCTAACCAGTACTAGTTCAAACATATCTTGGAGCAGGGGGATTGGGCTGTATTGGGTGTTTATGTTTTTTTTCTACAAAGGTTGTTTATATGTAAGGGAGAGTCTATTGCAAAGGTTCTGTGTATTTTTTCTAGATGTGAAGTATTTATAACTGCTTTTTGTACAGCAATTGTAAACTAGATATATTTGGGGTATTTCTAGACTCTACAGTTTCTTTAGCACATGCTTGTTAATCTTTGGAATATTGTATGATCAGTGTTACTATTTTGTGCAAATTGTTATATTTTAATTCATTTCTGCCGTAAACTTGCATCGTCTTTTTCAACTTTCAAGAAATTTTCATTGAAACAACTTTCGTAAATAAAACTTCTCTTGCCTACCGGTGCCTGCTGGGGGGTTTTGGGAAGGGGATGCTGTGACAGCTTGGGCTGGGGTCAGGGGGTACCCAGCGAGCCGCCCCCGCTCCGGGACAGTGTTCGGAGAATTCGTGGCACGGGGCTGTTAAACAGCGATTTTAGCTAAATTAACTCTTCTTTGGAGCAGAGCTGGGAAACGATCACTGGCAAATAACGTGGTTATCCGGAGAGGAGCCGACGCACAGAGACGGTGCCAGCGGGGACGATGCGGGGGCAGCACCCCGGGCTGCCCCTGCCCAGCCCCTGACGGCTCTCGTCGCCTTATCCCGCCCCATCCCATCCCATTCCATCCCACGGTCAGCTCCTGCCTCCTCATCCCGCTGCCCCCGCCTCGGCCCATCGCGCCGTGTGTCCATCCCGCCGTGTGTCCATCCCGCGCGGGGCAGGCGGGCTCTGAGCGCCGCGTACGCGGCCACCGCGCCCTTTCCCCCGCGTTTTGTTAACGCTGGAATTCCCTTTCAGGGGGCTGGGAGGAGGGAATGGCGGGGCCGCGCCTCCCCTCGGTGCCTCCCGGGGTCGTGGGAGGCGAGCGGCGCCGGGCAGCGGGCGCGCTCCGGCTGCCACCTGTGGGCTCGGCCGGGCGGGGACACGGCAGGGACCGGGCGGGTGGCACAGGGAGCCGGGTCTGTGCCGGAGATGAGGAGGATGCGATGTGAAGCCCCGTGATGAGCAGCCCCGGCGGGCACAGGGTCGCGGGGCTCCCCTCCCTGGCTGAACTTGGCCCGTCCCCGAGGCGCTCCCGGCGAGGTGCGGGGATCCCCGCCCCGCTCCGCCGGCATCACATGGTGCTGGGGGAGGGAGGGGGGAGCCGCCCCCCAGCCCTGGCTTCTCCTACAGTTTCTTCCAGTCTCAGCGCTCAACTCCGGCGAGGCTGGAGCGCGGCGCGGCGCTGGGCAGGGCGGGCTCCGCCGCCTGCTCCCGGGGCTCCGCCGCCCGCTCCCGGGGCTCTGCTGCCGGCTCCCGGGGCTCCGCTCCGCAGCGGAGGCGGCGGGGAAGCGGCACGAGTGCGCGGCGCCTCCGCAGCATCTCGGCTTCTGATGCCCCTTCGCGCCCGCACGCCAGCCCGGCGGCCGCGGCTCCGGGAGGATGCGGCTCTTCCTCCTCGCTGCAACTTTCTGGGGATTGTGCCTGGCTCCAGGTAAGGGCTCCGCGCGGCCAGCGCGGCTCTGGGAGCCTCCGTGCCCTCGTAGCCCCTCGACGGAGCGGCTACCGGGCGCTAAAAGGAGCGGAGCGGCGGAGCCCCCGTCCTGCGGTGTCCCCAGCGGGGCGAGGCGAGGAGCGGCACGGTGCTGCCGGCGGATGCCGCCCGGTGCCTCGGCGGGCACTGGGTCGGTGCCAGCGGGCGCTGCCGCCGCCGCAGCGCTCCCAGCGGAGGGCGGGCACGGGCCGGGGGTCTCCGCCGCGGGACGAGGGTGCGGGAGCGGCCGGGAGCGCTGCTGGCGAGCCGCTCGCAGCGCCTGGTTTGCATGATAAAAGCAGGGATGCTCCGCCGGCGAGGGATGCTCCGCCGCTTTAATTGTGCATGGCAAAATAGTAATTAAACCATTTGTAATTAATTAGTAGCTAAGTAAACCCGTCGGCGCAGATAAGAGCGTGTCTGCGGGGCGGGCTGCTCTCTGCGGGGCGCGGGCGGCTTCCAGCCCGCTGTGCCCAGGGGCGGGCGATGGGCAGCGGCGGCGGGGCTGTGCCGGAGCCGGTACCGGTGCCGGTGTCGATGCCGGTACCGGTGGCCGTCGCCTCCTGGCGGCGGCGTCTGCAGCGCCGGAGCGGAGAAGCGAAAGGAGCATCAGCAGAGCCGGCAGCGCCCGGCCTCAGCTGGGCGGGCGGCACGCTTCTTTTACTTTATATTTGTCAGAGGGATACTTTGGCTGAGCTGTTGAGTAGCCAAGAACAGCCAAATGCGAAGGGGGGAAAGATAAAGGAGATTTCTGGCACGTGTCGGTTGTTTGGTTTTCTTCGGTGTTTGGTTTTTGTTTTGTTTTTTTTTTAATACTGTTGCTATTATTTAAGGGCAGGTTAGATGAGGCACCCGGCTGAACAGTGTCCCTGCCCATGGCAGGGGCTTGGAGTGAGATGATCTATAAGGTCCTTTCCAAAAGAAAGCATTCCATGGTTTCAAACAAATCTCTATCTGTTCCAGGTTTGGGTTTGCAAATACAGTGTTACCAGTGTGAGGAGTTCCAGCTAAACAATGACTGCTCCTCTCCGGAGTTCATCGTGAATTGTACAGTGAATGTTCAAGATATGTGTCAGAAAGAAGTAATGGAAAAAAGTTTTGGTAAGAATTTAATAATTATTCTTCTGTTTATCTGGTTTAGGTAGCATTTGTTGCTTTTGGCTCCACCCATTCATGGTGTTCAGCTTCATATGAATCTTGTGTCCCTACCTGAAAGGACTGGATTTAATGTCATATACTTCTGAGTGGCTTTGTAACTCAACAAAGTTAAGCGTTTTCCTTTAAAACTGGTGTAAAAACTGAAGGATGCAAGCCAAATGTTGATAAAGCTCCTTAATACACAGTCTTATGGGTCTCTGATATAGTTTCCCAACACTGGGAAATTAATAACAACAAGTTAGTTTAATCTCATTACAGTTAATTACATGGGCTTTTTCCCCAAGAGATAGAAGAGCATTAAATTAGTAATTCCCTCCTTTCTTTTATTTACTCAAGCAATTTATATACTCTGAAGATTCATCTTAAGGGAAGGAAAGTGTAGTAGTGATCTTTGTTTTCATCCATTAAAGAAACCACCAAGCAAAAGGGAGAAAGTGTTTTTTTAATAAAAAGGGGGGGAAGAGAAGGACACAAATGGATGTCATAGCAATTTTTAAATTTTTTCCCCTTATTGAAATTAATATTTAAGTTAGCATATTAGCACAGCAATGTGTCCAAGAGGAAATCAGCTGTGATTCTGCACCTTGCCTCTGTTGTCTTTTGAGCTGTTCTGTAAATGGCTGGGTTTCAGTTACAGCATTGTGGAAAGCATTTGAGATTTAGAGAGAACTGTCAGGTCTTACACTGCTGTGTTCTTCTGTAGCTCTACAAAGCATTTGAGATTTAGAGAGAACTGTCAGGTCTTACACTGCTGTGTTCTGTAGCTCTATGTGAGCAGGAGACAGGAGCTCTGTCAGGGACTCTGGGGCAGTGTGGGATGGCAGGAAGGGAGCTGGAGCTCATGGAGCCTCCTGCTCCCACCGCAGGAGGGTGTCAGGCATTGGGATGGATGAGGAGCAGCCCCAGGCTGGATGTGCCCCCTGTGCCAAGCCTGGGGAGCAGAGGGCAGCCTGGGGCTTCAGAACCCTGACTGAAGGGATGCTGCTCTCTGGGATGCCCATCTCCCAGCTTTGGGGTTTTGCTGTTCATGTAGACTGAGCCACAGCCTGTCCTTTCCCAGCAAGTCCTCCAGGAGCAGCAGGATGCCTCTGTGTGCAAACGTGTGCAGTCATCCATCCTGAGCAGCAGCAATGCTTCCTGGGCTGAGCAAGCTCCTCTTCCCCCTCAGTCAGCTGGCCCCGCCTGTGCTGGTGATTTCGGGTCACTGTGTAATCAGTCCTGATAAATAATAATTGTTAGGCATCAAAAGTAGCTGAACTGCTGACACTCATCCTGGGTAACACCATCCACAGTGACCACTGCCATGAAATACTTAGAACCTGCCCAGTGTAGGGAAAAAAAAGTTGCTTTTAAGCTGTTTAAAGGAAGATTAGTCTCTCTTAAGTTATTTTTTTGCTGGAGTATTTTATTTCAAGTTTGCTTGAGAAGAGTGGTGAGGGTGTGAGATAGTTACAGCTCGCAAGGCACCTTTAAAATCTTGAGTATCTCTAAATGACTACTTGAAGGCTTTGCTATCTCCACACCACAGCTTCTGTGGCACTTTCATGAGGTTAGACAGAATGTTGTGGTGATTTGGAGGGCTCTAGATGTGGTAGTAGACACAGACAAAAAAGTCAGATTTGAACTCTTTTCATTGATGCATAACTTGCCATTACTCCTGTGAAGAAATGGGTTGCAATACAGTAAATAAGCAGCTCTTAAACTGCTTGGTGGGGTTTTTTCCTGTGGAATTTTGTGTTTTTTTCTGAGTAGATCCCTGGATTTTTTTCCTTTAGGAGGTTACTAGCATGCTCTGCATAGCAGGTTGCCACTGTTTTATTACATTTACTTCTATAAATGCATTTCTTATTAATTTAAGTTTGGAGATTGTAAATTTCAGCCAGTTAATAAATTAAAATTTTAACCTGTTTCAAATTGAATGAAATTTACATTGCAAGCTTAGCTTCTGTTACCCTCAGTCAATTTTAGAGAGGGTTGGTTGTAAAACAGAGATGATTCAGTTCATCATCCTTTATTGGTTTTATTCCTAATTGATATTTAAATGTGTGCAATATAAATGCTTTACTCTCCCAAGTTTTATTTAATAATTCATTTTACTTCTACCAGTATATTTCATAACCTGATTCTTTTGGTTGTTGCTTATTACTAAAAGCTGAAATGTTTCAAGTATTGATTTTAATTTATAATAGACTTGAGTTTGAGCTTTTAACCCAGAAAATGAAAGACGCAAATTTGCATTCATTTGACAGCACAATCTCATAATTAGAGTTCTTTCCTCTTGACTAAATACAGTCAGAGTGCAGTTTTTGTAGATTAACCCATTTTTGTCATTAACAAAACGTAGCTGTGTTAGTGAGCAAAGTGCCACAAGTTATCTCAAACTTTTAAATTTAAGCGCAGTGTTCTGAGATTAAAGCTCGTGGTGGGAGTGGGTGACCATCCCTCTGAGGTTGCCACCCTTCCCTCCAGCAGGCTCCACTTTGAGAGTTTTGCTGTCAGGGGCTGCTGGCTCAGCCCCAGCCCTTGGCCAGGGTCTCTTCTCCTCGAGGGTTTGCTGTGCTCAGGAGTTGTGCCCCGGCAGCTCTGTGGCTCAGCTTCACTCCTGGATTAAAATCCCTGTCCTAGAGGCACCACGGTGGCAAAGGACAGCCCTGGGCTGCTCCTCCCATTTGCCTTGTACAACGCTCCTTATGTCTGCTCACAGTTAACTCCTCCTCAGTTTCTCTAAATTCAGTGCTCCGGGTGTCACTGGGCTCTCTCAGGGCTTCTCAGCTTCAGGTGAGAAGTGACAGCAGCTCAGGTTCAGTTTCTCTAAATTCAGTGCTCCGGGTGTCACTGGGCTCTCTCAGGGCATTGTCTCAGCTTCAGGTGAGAAATGACAGCAGCCAGGCGTGTTCCTAACCCAGAGCTTGAGCAGAGGCTGCTCCTGTGGCAGCCTCTGATGTGAGCAGCCAGGAAAGCAGGTGTTAGTAACTTCTATTCTGAATTAGATCATCAGGCATCTGATCTCAGCTGTTTGTTGTATCAGGTAGACATTGCTCGTTTGGACAGCTTAAAGTGAATTGAGAATTGAGCAGCAAATGGCAAAATATTTTTCTCTCTTAAGGCTGAATTGTATTTAAAAATTTTGCCTGAAAAAGTTTAATGATTGCTAGAATTCTGTTCCAGTGGGAGATACAGGCCAAGACAGTATTTTCCCTATGATAAAGAATCTTACTAATTAATTTGTTAATTAAATCTCAAATAAAAGAAAGGAAAAAGCCTTTTTTTAGAGAGAGAAGTGATGGGAATGGAAAGTGGCACTCAGGACTATACCACAAAAATTTTTATCTCACAGAAATTAAAGTAAAGGCTAAGTTTCTAGTGCATTCTTCAACTGGATAAGCAGGTGTTTTAAAACTGTGTAAATTAAATGTTTCACAAAGGATCAAAGTTCTTACCATAATTCCACTTGCAGATACCATGTGGAAATACCTGTGGTGGATTCCCTGCTCCCACTTGCCTCTCCCTTTCCAGTCTGTGGACTTTTAAATTACACATATCAGTGCTCCTTCATTTTTAGAATATATGTAGCAACAAAGAAATCCCACAGTATATTGGGATCAAGTGAAACATCTTGGTGATCTATAGATGAGTGCATAGTGTGCATATGCTTTTATATATATTATATATCATAGAAAACATACTGGTAATGGCAGTCTTGCCTTTTACTGAGGGCAAGAGTTATCTGAGCATAAAGGCTGATCTAAAACCTACTTAAGGCAAAATGAAACTTGCAATGTGAATACATCAGTGAGGGATAAAGCAGGAGGGATGAGACAGCCAGCCCAGAGAAGTAGCCAGTCTCAATTTCTTGGAGCTCTCTGCAAGTAAATCTGCCCACGTGCATGTTTTGAACAATACACCGTCTGTTCTAATCTAGTTGTGAACATACTTTTACTAACTTTTGCAAGGAAAAAAAAATATTCACTGTAGCAATGCCAATAAAATATCAAGGATTTTTCCTTTTTGCAAACAAATTGGGAAGCAATCTGATTATTGTAATAATCTGCAATAAGAAATGTTGTTGGTTTGGTTTACTATGGTCCTTTTAATGTATTTAATTGGTCTGTAACTCTGCAGTGTAGTGAAAGAAATTGCTGTGATTGTGTGCTTAAAAGCAGTGCATGGAAACACCATGAGCAAGATCAGCATCTCAGTGTTGAATTAGAACTGTATGTGTTTCTTTGAACTTTTTCCAGTATTGGTTTTCCCATCATTTGTTTTATCAGTACTGTGTTGTGTGATGAGTTGGGCTGTGGTAAATTCTTTACCTGTAATTATTACTTGGTTTTGCCATGATTGAGTTGTTCATGTTTGCAAGGATTACAGAACCACATACACACTTTTTTTCTGTGTTCATGTATGGAATCTATTAGAACTAATATTAATTGCATATTTCTATCAAGGGGGAATTATGCTCTGGTGTACTTTTATTGACAAAGTGATTAAAACAGCAAACAAAGTTTAATGTTGCCAGAATTACTACAGGCATTAAAGCTTTATAGGAAGTTGTTGCATCCCTAGTATGCATTTAGAAACAGTAAGAAACATCCACTAAATTGGTGGTTGACTTGTTAGTTTGGGTTTTTTTCCTCTACACATTTTGGTCAAAGGGTATCAACATAACTCAAGAGAATTTTTTGGTGGTTGGGGGAGGTGGTTTGTTTGGTTTTTAATCAAAGCAAAGCATGACAGAATAAATCTTTATTGGCAATTTTAAAAGATAAATAAAAATTCTGCATGGGACAGTTGGTACCTAAAACATCACATATTGTGCTACCAGGTGCCCAGCGAAATGAAGACATAATGTTGATATTGGAAACACAGTTCACTTTTGATATTGAATAAAAGACTTGCAATGAACATTATTAATTTGCACTGTATGTTGAAAACTTGGATCT